ATCGGGAGGTCTGAACCCGATAGCGCGAGAAGCCGCCGCCCCGGGTCCTGCCCATTCGGCGAGCGGGGAATCGAAAACGATGGCGGAGGAGCGGGGCGTGGGAAAGTTGGAGCGCGTGGCCGGCCGCTCCCTCGCCGCTATTCCCGGAGGACCTGCGGAGAAACGAAAGCGAGCGACAGAGCGAACGCCTCTCTTTTCCGAGACGTTTTGCGCGGGAAACGAAACCCACCTGAGAGGAAGCTCGGGTTCAAGAAACGGGCGCGGCGCGTCCAAAGCCAAACTGAACGGGAAATGGGGAATATCACGAAAGGGAAACTGAGACGATTGGGAAATGAAGCTGACGCTTTCATGAAAATGAAAGTTTACAGAGCGATCTGAGTATTAGTAAGCAGGCAGCCACCTCTTATGAAAAGTTTGCCAGTGGGTTGTGGGGGGGGGGGGGGGGGAGAACCCAAAACACTGGGATCCAAAGGCTACTGAATGCAAATAAATTAGTAGTATTTTACATGAATCAGCTTGGGAGAAGCCACAACATTATTTGCTGTTTTTCCTGCATCAGATTAACGTTCGTATCCTCGGGAAAATGTTAACGTGCAAAAAAAAAAAAAAGTATTCTCACATTTTCATACAAAGAATATTTATTTATTTAGTTAGTTTTGATTTATTTATTTATTTATTTGAATGTATAAGCTGTCCAACTCCAATGGACTCTAATGTGCAAGATAAGCATTATTCCTGTTCACAGCAGCATCTGTAACTAATATGCCAACAAGGCAGTCTTCCTAGCTTTGCTATAGAAATTGGACATGTATGGATAGTAAAAAAAAGAAAAAAATCACCATGGACATCTTGATTTCTGACCAATTTCTGTTAAATTGGGGTCTGGTGGATTTCCAGCTTGACAGTTAAACTATGGTATAATGAGCGTTCAGCTTTTTTAAGCTGATTGGTTGCCAACACTTACATTAATACATTTATAATTTTTGGTTTAATCTCAGTTCATTGAAACCACCTTTAATCTGGTATGTAATTATGGTGGTTTCTTTTGCAAATACTGTATATTGCACTGACTCAAGAAAATGGAAGCCTCCAATCCCTTAAAGCAGGAGTGGGCAAGCTGGGACCCCAGGGGCAGAGGAGTTGCCCAGCTCCTTTTCTGTGGTCCCTAGAGCCCTCCGCCCCCCAACTATACATAATTTTTAAAACTGAGATCCTAAGGTAGATGAAGCATAGCAAAAAATCCAAACCGCACAAACTCTCCAAATATACAGAAAAGCTTACCTTTATGTGTGACATTGTCCTGTTCATTTTGCATCATCTGCCCAACAGTGTCTACAGGAACTATTTTACATTTTGTTTATTTTATTTATATATCAAATTTGTCACCACCCATCTCGTTGAAACAACTCTTTTAGGTGTGTTGTAAACTCTACCCCTTTGGTACATGTGTGTGATGTTGTAACACACATACAAAAACAGTGGGGTTTGTATCACAATGTTCTCATTCTTCTGACCTCCCCTTGCCCCCCCCCATCTCCACACTGGGCTTTTTGCCCCAAGTGCAGGGTCTTGCTGTCAAAAATATGGCTCAGTCCTGAGTCTAACTGGTTTTCACTGGCATATTCGTTTTATTAATATTGTTTCATTGATTTTATTGTAATTTCTTTGATTGTTGTGAGCCACCCAGAGTCATTAAGAGTCAGGTGGCATTCAAATTTAATAATTGATGATGATGATGATAATGATAAAATTCCCGAACTGAATATTTGCTTTCCACAAACTTAACTGCTTATACTCTGTCTGTTCTGGAATCAAGAGTTATAGCAACAATAGAATGTCAAAAATAACCTATCAACCCGTAGAACACAGGTTCAGTTCTGCTATGCATTTAGCAATGTGGGAAACCTTTGAACCTCCAGATGTTGTTAAACAATTCTCAGCATCCCTCAACATCAGCCATGCGAATTAAAGCTACTGGGAGCTGTTCAGTGGCATCTCAAAGGCTGCAGGTTCCCCACCTCTGCTGTAATTTGTTTTTCAGTCAGTTCTGACTCTTTGGAACCTGATAGACATAATTTCATCAGAATTGTCAATAAGTAACTGCTCCTTTGAGTTCTTGTAAAATCCTACTGGTGTTATCAGATAGCATCTAGCCTTCTATGGTCAACTGTCTTCATGATCTTCCTCAATGGCTCTTATCTTCACATTACATGTCCAACGTTCTTTTCTTCATTTAACATTTTTGATGATCCAGTTTTCACAGTTATGAAAACCATGGCCTTCACAATACAGCCACTCCTCATTTAGCTACCACCTGTTAGTGACATTCACAAGTACAACAGTAATAAACAGTGATTAAAACATTCATTTTCTAACCAATGCATGTATTTACAACTGGACATGGGACCAGGTTATCTAAGGGACCGCCTCTTCCCTATGACTTCAACCCATCCCACCTGATCACACAGAGAGGGCATGCTTCGGACCCCCTCAGTGAAAGAACTCCGATTAGTGGGGTCCAGAAGGCGGGCCTTCTCTGCGGTAGCCCCCGCTCTTTGGAACATTCTGCCCCCGGAGGTGCGATTGGTCCCCTCATTCCTGGCCTTCCAAAGGACCTTGAAGACCTGGCTCTGTCACTTGGCCTGGGGTGGGAAGGGAATACCTCAAGCAGGGGAATGGCTAGCCCCATAGTGGCCGGCTGTCCCTGATCTGATTTCCCATCTTCTTGGATTTTCCTTTTTC